ATTGACAATCAATTCATTCATTCAATCCATTATATAGTCATTAAACTCACCGCTAATTGTCATCACTTTTACAACGATTTCAATCACAACTCAATTATAACTCAATTATAGCTTTAATTCAGATTTCAATACTGTTTTGTATTCGCAATCAAAACAAACATTCAGTCATTTAAACACTCATTCATATAAAACGTCTGTATTTTGCAGACATTTTTCAATCTTTTCATAACTGTATGGAACCTCTCTATAAGAAACTCTTCATTTGGGTTCACTTACAAACATCAAGAAAATTAATTTTAAACATGTTTAATAGTTTATGTAACTTGACAAATAAACTATAATTAAAACCATATGAGGTGGTTGGGTATAAACTTCACTTTCACTAATTGTATCTATAAATAGCACTTACTGTTCACCTGTTGCTAATAGAGATGTTTGACTGTATTATAATGAGCTAAGAAGGCATTAATTGTTTACATTTTGTTTAGTTTTGAATGAATTAAAAACATTAGACATTAAGTGTAAACCACTTTTGATTGTCATTAAATTGAGTATTAATTCAATGATAATGTATTGAATGGTTTGTATTGTGAGTAACGCTTGCATTGGTTTCCATAACAACCAATTGTTTACAACAAAACATTTCAATTGATTGTTAAGTGATGTTTGGCTGTGAGTGAAGACAATGTCCAAGAGTTGGATCCGTTTAATACTGGACACCATTTTGATGATAATAGCAGTGATTTCATGGACTCATGTGTTGAAGGCGTCGATGTATTTGAGCGACAAATTGATTGTCAAATTGAAAGTGAAGTGAAATCAGGAAATAATGCAGAAAAACGAGTCAAACAACCAATGGATTGGTCTAACAAACAGCGAAAGTATTATAATTAATGAGAAAATGCGTGAATTTCACCAAATGTTGTCTCAAATGAACGAAGAGGTGAACAGATCTGAGCATAACTTAACGAATATCACCAAAACTCATGAGAGAATGCAAACCGAACCGCAAAAGCCTTACTATAAGCACAAACTCAAAGGTCTCTACAAGACTGCACTCCAGGACACAGACAGCGAGTCTGAGATCATTCGCAAAGCGCTGGATCTGATTCACGACATTCGCTCTGTTGTCAAGAGTCGGCAGCGAAAGAGCGGACACGGATTCACTAAAGAGACGGCCATAAGAAGGGGTGCACTCATGAAAATGCTTCAACAAAACGCCGCAACTCTTCCTCTATTTGTTCCCAAATCGAGAGAAGACACGACTCCTCCGTAATTGACATTCATTTTATTGATTTGAAGTAAACATGACTTAACTATTGTTGTTGTCTATCACGTGAACAGTCTGTGCGGAGCCATTCCGGCCGAATCTAACTATGCGGCCAAAGTCGGCGATTTGGTGGCCGCTCTCGTCAAGGGCTCCGACGGCGACGAGAACTGGATTCTGGCCGAAGTGGTCCACTATATCAACAGTTCCAACAAATACGAAATCGATGACATCGATGAGGAACAGAAGGACAGACACACTCTGAGTCGACGGCGAGTATTACCACTTCCGCTGATGAGAGCCAATCCGGAAACAGACGGCGACGCCCTCTTCCCCAAAGACACTCTGGTGTTAGCGCTTTACCCGCAGACCACGTGTTTCTATAGGGCTATAATCCAAGAGCCGCCCAAAACAGCTCAGGAAGAATATCAGGTTCTGTTTGAAGACTCGAGCTATTCGGACGGCTATTCGCCACCGCTTTCTGTTCCCCAACGATATGTAATCGCGTGTAAAGAGTCGCGAAAGAAGTAATTGTAATCATTTCGACCAAAATATTTATTTTGATTATAGTTTTAATCGGTTTTATGGCTTCAAATCTGGTATTTGTTTATATAATTCAATGCAATATCTGTTAGTTTTTCACATGTCTTTCTTTTTCATCTTTATTTGCAATAATTCTATAATTAAAATATTTTAATAAAATATTTACAAATCTTTTCGATTAACTTTAATTAACTTTAATTATGAATTGATTATAAATGCAATCATTGAGTGATTGTACGAAACACTCAAATGAGTGATTAAAAGGACGTAATTTTGTGTAAACTTTAAACGCTTTTCACATGTTTTCAAAAGTGATGTAAACTTTGAAATTAAACAACAATTAAGTGATGTTTGGTTGACAACAATCTGAAGACATTGTGTTAAGCGATGGAAGCGTTGATAAGCGCCAGTAATGTCTCAAATGTGACCAAAACTCATGTGTTAGGCGTTTGCCAGAAGTGTATCAATGGATTCAATGGTTATAATTACAGACAAAGCCGATACTCAAGACAATCGGTGGTTAAACACCAGTCTTTGATGAAACTGAGAAAAGACTATTTAGTGGACACTAAACAGGAAAGAAAAGCTTTGAATATTTTCGAGACTCCCATCGGAGTTGTGGATCCAATCGATGGTAAGACAAAGAGTTCACTCACTGTTGATATCCTGGGAAGCGATACTTTGCCACAATTGACTGATTGGCGTAAAACACAACTCATTAAACGTATGCGAAGACTACTTCCACTTCCGGTCTCATTGACCGGTTTGGGTGACGGAGAGAGACCACGATATTGGACACAAGTGATGAAGAAGTCATCGTTCGAGTTAAGCCAATCAAACAAGACATCGGAACTGACTCTTTACGAGACAATCCCCACTTCTTTGCGAATATTTTTGGATAATTTTGGTGACAAAATACCCAAAGAATTGCAAGAAGTTTACGACAATTACAAGAAGTCTAAAGAACTATATTTTGAGAATTTGACAAAAACTCAAAAACAATTGACGGCAAAGAAGGACAAAATTCTTCGCTTTCCTTACGATTTGGTCTCTTATTTGAAGCAAAAGCAGAATATAATGAAATCAAACGAAACCAATGATGACATGACAGAAGAGTCACTCAAACAGAGAGCAATTGTCGACACAGAATACGACGATTATCTCAAACATCACCACTTAATGCAATATTTGGCCACTTCTTTGAAAGGCATGAAACCCGATGAATACGAGGCAGAAGTGGAGGGTTGGAGAGACCAGTTCTGGTTGAGGTATTTGGCTATCATTTTGTATTCATTATTATTAAATGTATGATATATTGAATGCAGAAATTATGGCACACCTGATCCCAAGACAAAGCCATCAGATATCGAGTGCAGCGGATGCGGTGCTTATCTTCACTGCAGCGCTACTAATATTCCCGGATATATGCCGTCATCCCCACTTCTTTGCGAATATTTTTGGATAATTTTGGTGACAAAATACCCAAAGAATTGCAAGAAGTTTACGACAATTACAAGAAGTCTAAAGAACTATATTTTGAGAATTTGACAAAAACTCAAAACCAATTGATGGCAAAGAAGGACAAAATTCTTCGCTTTCCTTATGATTTGGTCTCTTATTTGAAGCAAAAGCAGAATATCATGAAATCAAACGAAACCAATGATGACATGACGGAAGAGTCACTCAAACAGAGAGCAATCGTCGACACAGAATACGACGATTATCTCAAACATCACCACTTAATGCAATATTTGGCCACTTCTTTGAAAGGCATGAAACCCGATGAATACGAGGCAGAAGTGGAGGGTTGGAGAGACCAGTTTTGGTTGAGGTATTTGGCTATTATTTTGTGTTAATTATTATTAAATATATGATATATTGAATGCAGAAATTATGGCACACCTGATCCCAAGACAAAGCCATCAGATATCGAGTGCAGCGGATGCGGTGCTTATCTTCACTGCAGCGCTACTAATATTCCCGGATATATGCCGTCAGAAAAGTTTAAGAATTTAAGCGAACATCAATTGAGAGCTGAGAAGTGCCAGAGATGTGAATATTTAGCGCACTTTAACGTTGCCCTTAATGTGAACGTATCTAATGATCACTACCCGGAATTGATGGCCAAAATTCAAAACACAAAAGCATTGATTGTGATTATGGTTGACTTACTTGACTTCCCGTGCAGTGTATGGCCGGGTATTATTAATTTGATCGGTAGAGAGCATAAGGTTTATATCGTTGGAAATAAAGTGGATTTATTGCCAAAAGATAACGACTTATATCTGGAGAGAGCTCTTCAATCACTGAAGAAGTCATTATACGAAAATAATATTAGCAAAGAGTCGCGTATTATTGATATTAGTCTTATCAGCGCTAAAACTGGTTTTGGTGTCGAGAGTTTGATCACCAGATTATTGAGAGATCGACTCAAAGGAGAGGACGTGTATTTGATTGGCTGTACAAATGTGGGCAAATCTACATTATTTAACGCTTTAATGCAATCAGATTTATGTAAACTTAGAGACGTTGATCTCATAAGCCGAGCGACTACTTCTGTATGGCCGGGAACTACACTAAATCTGATTAAATTCCCGATTAGAGACCCCACGGGTTGGGAAGTAGAGCTCCGTCTCAAGAGATTGCGATTATATGAGAGGAATGACATAAAAGAGCGAAGACTTAAATGGACTCTATATAAGGAAACGGGAGATACGAGACATGCAATGCTCTCCAGTAGAATAGGAATGACATATAGAAGTGATGTTCCGTTTACTGTCCAAAGCGGTCATCCATTTGCTCACAAAACTCAAACTCCAAAACCATTTGACGCCACGAATACTTTTTTCAAAGATTGCAACAACTTTTACGACACACCGGGAACTATATATAAGGATCAGATTTTAACTCTACTGACAACTGAAGAGCTCCTTAAGACTATTCCTCGAGAACTAATAACTCCCCGAACTTTTACATTGAGACCGTTTCAAAGTCTTTTCGTCGGAGGATTGGGAAGAATTGATGTCATGAATGCCAGACAACAGGTTTGGCTCACAGTCTTTGCTTCACATTATCTGCCCATTCATGTCGTGCACACAGAAGAGGCCAAAAGATTTTATGAGCTATATTTGGGAACAGATATGTTAGGCGTTCCCATTGGAGGGTTTGAACGCGTCCAACACTGGCCACAACTTGTGCCCCGAGAGATAGTCTTAGACGGCGTTTCGTGGCAACAGAGTTGCGCTGATATAGTCTTGTCGACCGCCGGTTGGGTTTCAGTCACTCTCGGAGCCGACACTCGATGTGTTTTGAGAGCGTTTACTCCCGAAGGCAGAGGTATTTATGTGCGAAATCCTCCACTTCTTCCTTACGCTCACAAACTTCGTGGCAAACGAATCGTCGGAACGCCTTGTTTTGAAAACAAATTGTTTACAATCGACGATATGGTTAGGCATGCGATCCCTAAACGCTTCAATCGCTATAAGGAGAGCCGACACATCAGCCAAAAGCGCATTCAAAACTTGCAATAAAAACCATTTACTGTTAAATCTAAATAATTTCAACAAACATTTAAAATAAATTATTTTAATGTAATTTCGTTAACAAATGATAGCATTTATTAGAAGTGAATTTAAACATAACATTGGATTAGATTTATAACAAAAATATTGCAGTCATTTAAGTCTTCAGATCGAATATTTCGATGAGAAGGGGCCCGAAGTCGTTGGGGTCGGCGTCCAAATACATACGGATGTGGTCTTCATTCAAAATATGCAATTCTTCTAATTTAGTCATTAGTCGTAAAAATTTCGACTTCGCCTCACATTTCGAGTAATATTTAATCTCAAGATATCTCTGAAGTAAATACATGTATATCTGCTGTTCGAGTCTATCGGTCAGAGAAATAATTAGTTTTTTGTATATTTAATAAAATCTATTTGTATTCATCGCTCACTTAATGGTGTCCTTATTGATGATATTTCGTCTCTCGGGTGAGAACAGTGTTATTGCAATCAACTGTCAGATAAAAGCGGTTATTAAATGAATAAATGATTGCAATGAAAGACATACCAAATCGATGATAGTTTGGTCGGAATCCCATTCTTGTTTGAAAGCGTGCATAAACTTCTTGTGTGCCTCATATACGTTGCCCTTCGCCTGCTTTAATACATCCAATTTGATTAAAGTCGCGTTATTACTCTCCTAATCGGTTAAACAGTCAATTATTGCACATTTCGGGCTAACCCTCAGCTTATTTGTGCGCTCCTCTACTCTCCCCTTCTCTCCCGTCCTAATCATAAGTCTAACCATAATATTATATTTATTCTCTATTTTGCGTTTAAATACATATTCATAATTATTTTACCAAAAATCTACAAATGAATTGACATTTTTGGTAAAATTGATTCAAAATGAGTTGATTTTAATGATTTACGAAAAGTAAATGTAAGGATATATAACATGTAAGTAATGTGATAAGTGAATGGTTAATGCAATATTGGAAGTAATGAAAGTGATTACAGACCATAACAATAGTATAATATTCCTTTTCGTAGTTATAGGAGACGACTGATCGCAAAATGATGAGTTCAGTGCAGCCGCCTTTGAGAAGAGCAATCTGGTCGTTTTGGCACAGGTTCTTGAATCCCTGTATCCTTTTGGACATTTTGATTAATTGCCGCACAGTTTGGTCCGTCATTTTGAGCGCATCCATAATACCCGTTACCTCCGATGTGATAGCAGTGAACTGATCCCTGATTACAGATAATGCGGACAACAATTCAGACAATTTGTTTCGCTCCAAATCATTGAACTCGAAATAGTTTCCATTCGTCTCATTCATTGTCTTTCGGATGGGAATCGACGCGAATTCCAATTCAATTGCCTTTCTGTAGACAATCTCTGGGATGTCATTCATTTCATCCATTCTCGAGATGTTATCCATTTTTGTCCGGAAATTCTCGTCGCTATTAATACTATTAATGTAATTGTTTTTGTGACAATCGATGGTTGTGTTCATCACTTGTAAATCCGTTGAATGCATGTTTGATTGGAGCACTTCGATAGCCGAACACTCTTGCGATTCGTCGAAATACGAGTTTTGGATCAGATTATCGCAGAATGTATTGTAAGAATTGGTGTTTTGCAGTCGACTCACGCTTGAAGTGCTCTCATTGTTATCATAATTGAGTTGATAATCATTTCGATTACCCGTCACTTCTAACAGCATATCTCTATTGGGGTTAGCGTTGAAATTCGGGGACAGAATATCAAATTCATTGTCGTTATTGTTATTGCTTTCGAAGAGTTGGTTCGGGTCCGCAGTTGTGGTCGAATCGGCGCCTTTCGGTCCATCACTTCCGTCGTGTTTTCTCTTCCGGTTTTCCGCGATTTTACTTCTTTTCATGACTTTCTCCTCTTCTGAAAGAATCCATTCCTTCGATGCAATCACATATCAGTTATACGTTAAACATATCATATAAAGTCAACAAAATATACTTTTTTCATTCCGATATCAAAGCACTTCTTGAGTCGACACCTCTGGCAGAACCTTCGGGTGACTAAATCTATTTTACAATTGCCATCGAAAGGACATTTGAACTCCTATTCAAACTCTTGCGATTCGTCGAAATACGAGTTTTGGATCAGATTATCGCAGAATGTATTGTAAGAATTGGTGTTTTGCAGTCGACTCACGCTTGAAGTGCTCTCATTGTTATCATAATTGAGTTGATAATCGTTTCGATTACCCGTCACTTCTAACAGCATATCTCTATTGGGGTTAGCGTTGAAATTCGGGGACAGAATATCAAAGTCATTGTCATTATTGTTATTGCTTTCGAAGAGTTGGTTCGGGTCCGCAGTTGTGGTCGAATCGGCGCCTTTTGGTCCATCACTTCCGTCGTGTTTTCTCTTCCGGTTTTCCGCGATTTTACTTCTTTTCATTACTTTCTCCTCTTCTGAAAGAATCCATTCCTTCAATGCAATCACAGAATCAGTTATACGTTAAACAAATCATATAATTGTCAACAAAATATACTTTTTTCATTCCGATATCAAAGCACTTCTTGAGTCGACACCTCTGGCAGAACCTTCGGGTGACTAAATCTATTTTACAATTGCCATCGAAAGGACATTTGAACTCCTATTCAAAGTTACAATTAATACAATAGTATTACACAATATGTTGTCATCATTTGTATTAAACAATACTTTATTTCTCAATGCGTTTCTCCTGAAGAATGCTTTACACGATTCACATGTAATGGCATTGAAATTGTAGCCTAAAAATCAATTATCGTTTCTATAAATATATATTTTGGTTAATTTACACCATTTAAATACCAAGAGCTTTGTCGCCGCAAATGCCACATACTTTGGACAAATCCTTGTCATTCATCTCCGATACCTATTATACAAATAAATTCATTAAAATATGTTAACAATTGTTAATATTATTCATATTAATTGTATGAAACTATAAAAATCAATAATCAATAAATATAATGAATAAATACCTTTGAATTCAATTCAATGAGTTATTAAGGCATATAATAGTGATATATATTTACATTTAAATATAAAATGATTTAAACAATAGTTTGGGGAAATAAAATCTATATAAATGTATATTTAATAAACGGCTATAACAGTGATATATAAGTGTAAAACACATCAATTGATTGGTTATAAAAATTAATTTCGAAAACAATTAGAAATATTGACTCAAAATGTTATAACGATTGAAAGTGAATGTAATGCTAATGTATGGCGAGATTGCGTACATCACTATACTATTGGTGTCCTTCACTTGTCGTACACTTTCTATTCAATTGAAACTTCGGTGAAAAACTTATATTAATAAAACTTGTTTTATTAGGCTTTCAGTTAAACAGCACTTTACACACAATAGTGTACTTAAATCTCTGTATATTAATATCTATTGACTAAATTAATTACAATGTATTGACAAATATATCAAATATTCTGCACAAACTCTTCGTTGCTTTGAATGTAGAATAGAATTGTAAGCCATCACAAAGAACTTGCTCTTTCATTATGATCAAGGATTATTGCAACATTTCAAAACCATTTTAATCAATTCATACTGTATTAGTATTGTTATATATCAAATAGCATAAATTTAGAAAAATGCACCATGGCAATCGATTCTAG